TCAGTTTTTATTGGGACTATTCATTCCTTAATTAATTAATTGGCAGAGGAAAAAGCCATGTTGCTTGACGAAGTGTTGATCCACCTTATTATGTAAAGACCTGGGTAATGGTCATGCTTTCGATTTGGGTTTACATACATGTGCAATCAAGAGGTTTTGGGTTGGTTCGTGAATCTCCCTCTGCTTTTGCTGTTTGGTCACTTCCCTGTGTTGGAAGCTTCTGGCGTTCTCCGTAAGAGCAAGTCTTTATTTCTAAAAGATCCTGGTTGTCTGGCTCAATCTTGCTAGAGTAAAGGTATTTAAAATAATCTGTGTTCTAAAACTAGAAGTTAGTTATGACAGGAACAGCAGTTATTTGAAGTAGTAGCTGTTTTTTTAAATGGATAATCCTTTTTGTTAACCTACAGCTAGATTTTTGAAAACGCTAACGCCAAATAGAACTCGTCCTTCAAGCAGCTTTTTGGCCAAAAACTCCGAAAGTAGACAATGTAAAACTAAGAGTGCAACCATTGCTTTTTTCTTTTCTCCTCTTTTCTCCCTCCTCGCTCTTTCTATTTCTCTTCTCCTTTTTTTTCGCTAGTGTGATTTCGAGCTTATCGGGCGGACTTTTGGCTCTTTTTCGATCAAATTGCGGCAAATTTCATTTGGCTCGTTTTTAAAAGATATAAGACATATAAACGACTGTTCTTTGTGTAAGCCGCTAATTTAAAAACACTTTACCAACAGTTTACTTATTTAAATCGATTTTACTGATTTAATCTTTCTTACAAAAAGTTGAAAAAGAAGATCATTGTAGTTTCCTATCAAAAGTAAAGAAAGTAATAATTGTACTGTGAAATTTGTATTCTTCTAAGAAAGGATACGGCTAGTCCCTTATCACACCAGATGATGGCTTCTTCAAATTGCTTTAACTTTACACAGGCTTTCGCTCCTGGTAAAAAAGTCGTTTTTATACTTAAAATGATAAAATATAGATAAAGTTTCAGATTTTCAAATTTCTTTCATTTTCACCTCTGATAATTGCCTTAGGTAAAACGGTTGTAATGCTGTCGCAGCTTTTATGTCACCAAGACAATCATGATAATTCCCTGAAAAAGAAGAACTGGTGCTAGACATTTTGGGCCACACGTCAACGTACATCAATAAGTGCAGACTCTGAGGGAGGGGGAGGGGACACTCTGGACGGAACGGCTGGCGACGCCCAGGCAAGAAGGCTACATTCTGAAAGATCAACATTAATTTAGGGTTTGATAGGCTAGTCTCGGGACAGACAGCTTTCAGGAGCTCATTCCTCAGCCGTTCCCGAACACGCAAATAAGACCGAGCACTATCCTCTTTAAGACGAGGGTATTGAGCGCAAATATTGCGCGTCAGTATGTAAAAAGTCTCGACACAGAACAGACAACAGAATGCTGAATAACAAAAGAGAATCACAGGACCATTATCCTCGAGTTCTGTTGTGGAAACGGCAGAAAATGCAATGCTGACGATGCGTGATATAAACGTGAATGATACTTTACCCAAGTGATAATGGGCTGACGCCCTGTTGTTGTGCAATTTGGCATTCAGATCCTCATCCTTGCATTTCACTTCAATTCCCTCGGTGTAGAAGTTTATAGCCTTGAAAAAATCACTTTTAAGAAAAGCATCATTGCCGGCACTTTTGTGGGTCTCTGCTATTGCTGAAATATAAAATTAGTACAAAACTGAGTTTTGTGTTGTGCCTGTAACTGAATGATTACACTGCGAGCAGTTGTTTCTCCATGCCGGACGCTACGCTACAAAGGGAGAGAAACCACTGCGAGCAGCCGTCTGCACTGCTTCTTTCATCGAGCCGCCGTCCAGCTCCATGGACGAATAAATTAACTTTAAACATGTACAACCTGTTTAAAAACAAATTAAGGCTCTCGCGCAGTTGCTTACGCTTACAACTGCTGCCTTAACGCGAGCCTGCTTTGAAATTGCGCTTTTTCAATTCAGTTTTTATTGGGACTATTCATTCCTTAATTAATTAATTGGCAGAGGAAAAAGCCATGTTGCTTGACGAAGTGTTGATCCACCTTATTATGTAAAGACCTGGGTAATGGTCATGCTTTCGATTTGGGTTTACATACATGTGCAATCAAGAGGTTTTGGGTTGGTTCGTGAATCTCCCTCTGCTTTTGCTGTTTGGTCACTTCCCTGTGTTGGAAGCTTCTGGCGTTCTCCGTAAGAGCAAGTCTTTATTTCTAAAAGATCCTGGTTGTCTGGCTCAATCTTGCTAGAGTAAAGGTATTTAAAATAATCTGTGTTCTAAAACTAGAAGTTAGTTATGACAGGAACAGCAGTTATTTGAAGTAGTAGCTGTTTTTTTAAATGGATAATCCTTTTTGTTAACCTACAGCTAGATTTTTGAAAACGCTAACGCCAAATAGAACTCGTCCTTCAAGCAGCTTTTTGGCCAAAAACTCCGAAAGTAGACAATGTAAAACTAAGAGTGCAACCATTGCTTTTTTCTTTTCTCCTCTTTTCTCCCTCCTCGCTCTTTCTATTTCTCTTCTCCTTTTTTTTCGCTAGTGTGATTTCGAGCTTATCGGGCGGACTTTTGGCTCTTTTTCGATCAAATTGCGGCAAATTTCATTTGGCTCGTTTTTAAAAGATATAAGACATATAAACGACTGTTCTTTGTGTAAGCCGCTAATTTAAAAACGCTTTACCAACAGTTTACTTATTTAAATCGATTTTACTGATTTAATCTTTCTTACAAAAAGTTGAAAAAGAAGATCATTGTAGTTTCCTAGCAAAAGTAAAAAGAAAGTAATAATTGTACTGTGAAATTCGTATTCTTCTAAGAAAGGATACGGCTAGTCCCTTATCACACCAGATGATGGCTTCTTCAAATTGCTTTAACTTTACACAGGCTTTCGCTCCTGGTAAAAAAGTCGTTTTTATACTTAAAATGATAAAATATAGATAAAGTTTCAGATTTTCAAATTTCTTTCATTTTCACCTCTGATAATTGCCTTNGAAGCTTCTGGCGTTCTCCGTAAGAGCAAGTCTTTATTTCTAAAAGATCCTGGTTGTCTGGCTCAATCTTGCTAGAGTAAAGGTATTTAAAATAATCTGTGTTCTAAAACTAGAAGTTAGTTATGACAGGAACAGCAGTTATTTGAAGTAGTAGCTGTTTTTTTAAATGGATAATCCTTTTTGTTAACCTACAGCTAGATTTTTGAAAACGCTAACGCCAAATAGAACTCGTCCTTCAAGCAGCTTTTTGGCCAAAAACTCCGAAAGTAGACAATGTAAAACTAAGAGTGCAACCATTGCTTTTTTCTTTTCTCCTCTTTTCTCCCTCCTCGCTCTTTCTATTTCTCTTCTCCTTTTTTTTCGCTAGTGTGATTTCGAGCTTATCGGGCGGACTTTTGGCTCTTTTTCGATCAAATTGCGGCAAATTTCATTTGGCTCGTTTTTAAAAGATATAAGACATATAAACGACTGTTCTTTGTGTAAGCCGCTAATTTAAAAACGCTTTACCAACAGTTTACTTATTTAAATCGATTTTACTGATTTAATCTTTCTTACAAAAAGTTGAAAAAGAAGATCATTGTAGTTTCCTAGCAAAAGTAAAAAGAAAGTAATAATTGTACTGTGAAATTCGTATTCTTCTAAGAAAGGATACGGCTAGTCCCTTATCACACCAGATGATGGCTTCTTCAAATTGCTTTAACTTTACACAGGCTTTCGCTCCTGGTAAAAAAGTCGTTTTTATACTTAAAATGATAAAATATAGATAAAGTTTCAGATTTTCAAATTTCTTTCATTTTCACCTCTGATAATTGCCTTCAGGTAAGAGGGTTGTAATGCTGTCGCAACTTTTACGTCACCAAGACAATCATGATAATGCCCTGAAAAAGAAGAACAACGTTCAATAAAAGTAGGTTAAAAAGAATTACGGCACACCTTATTTACTCGAAAGACGTGCGCTTAACATTTTACTCTTCGTTTCTACGCGTCGCTTAGTTGAGGAGTGGTGCCTATTTAAAGGTGGCATAAGGTCGGGCTGTCTTCAAATCCAACACATTACTTACACTATACATCACTCTTTTGGCTCTCTGAGGATTAAATATTGACCCACGAAAACAAGATGGAGCAGTTATTGAGATTTTTTGCGAGTGTAGCTTGTTCCAGGCGTCACGGCGTTCACAAACTCGCATACGTTATCCATTTCAAAACACGCAAATAAGACCGCGCACCATTGGCTTTGAAGAGAATTTTACGTTTATCGACTGAGACCCTCAGTACTATGGTAGGATAAAAGAGGATATCAAAATAAGACTACACGCTAAAAAAATCAATGGAGACAGTGGTATTGAGATTCCAGACGCGTCATTGGCTAAAAAGGCAGGGATACATGTAGAAAAGACCACGGAGTGGTGGATACGAAATAGAATGCATTGTTGAAGATGCTAGCATCGTCAACATATAGAACTAAGGTCACACTAGGAGATAGGTCCTTCCAGGTGACTTCGCCCAAGTTATGGAATGTTCTACCGTGTGAGCTTCGCGATATTCCAAAGTTGCATACTTTTAAGAGCAATCTTAAGACGTACCTTTTTAAGTTTGCTTATGGTTGAAAGAATTTTAATTGTCAAATATCGATATTTTAGATTTTTATGACGGATATGTATATATTCTTATTATTTTGCTTATTGTAAATAGGTTTGAAGTTTTTTTTTCATGCTTTTCATTACTTTAGTGATAATATTACTAATGTAATGCGAATTTGATGATTTTTATGAATACCTGCGCAATATAAGTGATTAAATTATTAATTATTACTATGAAGATGCGTAAAGTTGATATGAATGATACTTACCCAAGTGATAGTGGGCCGTCGCCCTGTTATTGTACAATTTGGCATTCAGATCCTCATCCCTGCATTTTACTTCAATTCCCTCGGTGTACAGGTTGATAGCCTTGTTAAAATCATCTTTATGAAATGCATCATTGCCAGCCTTTTTTCGGGTCTCTGCTATGGCTGAAATAATAATCAAACTAAATTTTGTGTTCTTCGCGTAAGTGAATGAGCAAAGGCCAAATAAATAAAAAAGACCACGTTCCCTGAACGAAGAGTTGATCTACTTGATGTAAACATAGATAAAAGTTATGATTTCTGTTTGGGTTTTACTTACATGTGCAATCAAGAGGTTTTGGGTGGGTTCGTAAACCGCCCTCTGCTTCTTCTGCTTTGTCTCCTCCAAGAGTTGGAAGCGTTTCGCGTTCTTTGTTAGAGCGACTCTTTATCTCTAAGAGATCCTGCTTGTCTGGATCAATCTTACAAGTGTAAAGATGTTTTAAATAATCTGTGTTCTAAGCCCAGAACCTAAATGACGGCAGAGGTCGTAGTTCTGACAGTAGCAGCATTAGTAGGAGTAGCGACTGCATTGTAAAATTGATAATCCTTATTGTACATATAAACGACAGCTGTTTGTTTAAGCTACTAAAACCCTTCGCCAACAAGTAACTTATTTAAACCGACTTCACTTATTAAAACTCATTTAGTGTGTCCTGTTAGAAGTCAAGGAAGTAATAACTGTACTGTGAAATTTGTATTCTACTAAGAAAGGATACAGCTAGTCCTTTATCACACCAAATGATGGCTTCTTCAAACTGCTTCAACTTTGCACAGGCTTTCGCCCCTAGTGAAAATAGTTAGACTCATTTACTAGAAATACGTGTATCGCAGGAACTCGCAAAGCTCGGGGTGGGGGAATGCCCATAAAATGTCAGGGATGGAAGGGAGGAGAGAATCGGAGTAATTTATGTAGCTTAGGAGGACGGGTTTCAACACTGGCTCTAATATTGGAATGTGAGATGTACTTAATCTCCTTTTGGTTGGAGTAAATTTGAGCCCAGTGCTCTGTCGTTAAAAAGGATGTTCTGGGATTCTAATGAGGTTGGTGTTGTTAAGAAGGGTAGCCAATGTTTCATAGGTCCCGTGTTCACCGCGCATTTAACCCTCCTACCTGTGTAATAAATAGTCAAAAGAAAATGGGTGTGATAGTAAATAACTGCATGAAAGAGAGGTGAATATGCAGCTAACCAATGCTATCTTTAAAGATTAGTGTAATCATAATTACTTGTGAAGTGTGTCATTAGTAGTGCATTGAAAATAACAAGTAAATGCTGGTAATTGACGTAAAATATTTATTGTTAAGTGAACTACAACTATGAGAGTGTTTGCACTATTGTTGTGGTACATAATCCAGACTGATGCCAACCTCTGGAAATCTAAAATCTAGACACTCTTTCCTTTGCATTACCCTCTCCGCCCTTCCCCATAAGCACAATTCGATCCAGTCCCTTATCAGCTTGGACATTATATGGAGTCTTGCATGAGGTACAGAACCATCACAATTAGCTTTTATGATTGTAATGGGAAATAATCTTTGTCAGTGATGAAATACACGCGAGATGCCCCAGAAACTGAACTTTGAATCAAAAGAAATTCGAATTTTTGGGGAAAAAAATGGGATAAATTTCAAATTAAAGCACAGAAAAGCTCATAACTCGATTTTATCCGGGAGATTTGGTGACCCGTATGGGAGGAGATTGTTGTCGTATCCGGGAGGGTTGGCATGTATGATAATCACACTTGACAACTAATTGTTTTAACAGTAAGATGCAAACATAATCACTTACACTGAAATAGAAATTACATGTAGCAATGTCATTAAGGATGCAGTTGAGGAGAATTTTGATTATGATGATTATTGAATACGCGGTACCCTCATTAGCACTGAATTATCCCTGTAAAGAGTACCAAATCATTTATGAAAGTGTTCACATTTATTTGAATACATGCATGAGAAACAAATATCCATGCAAGAGTGGAATTTGTATTGTACGTCCACATACAAGTTCATGTTGAAGTTCGTCAGTTTCTCAGTTCTCAACATGCATGAGCTTGTTGAGACATGGTTGTCAGAGGAATAGTTTTTAAAAGTCCCAGATAGTCAAATGTACACTTTTCCTGACCAAATGAATTGACAATTTGTCCAGATATTAATGGTTCCCAATTCCACTCAAAGCTTCGTGCACTGGACACAGATGACGTAAAGCAAAAGACTTCTTTGTTTTCTGTTGAGGGAAAATCTGCTAGTTTGGGTCTGTGCTAAGCGATGTTCTCTGCGCTTTGCACGCGGCTTCTTGTCGTCGTCGTCTTCTCCGCTCACGACGAATTTTAGTCGGCGTTCTCCAGAGGAGTTTCGGTTAAAAATCGGGGATTTCCAGCCACGGGTTGTGCTTGTTGTTCTGTGTCATCTGAATGGGAAATTGCTCCTGATTGTAAACATTGTTTCATAGATGAATATTATAAGACACATGAGCCTTTCATGAATAATACATAAAAATGCGCCGGTCATTTTTGGAAAAGTCTATGTTGCCTGGAAACGCAAAATGCTCCATGACGTCTTTGGCGGACCCCAAGCATATATTCACAGATTTATGGCGCATCGAATTTTGCATCTGGCTAAGACGATGCGCAGTTCACGTGATAAACGCTCGCTTCAAGCGCGACGAGATTATAAACTCGCTTCACTCGGGGCCTTCGGCCGCTCGCTTAGCGAGAAAAATGCCAAATTAAGATTAAGTTTCAGATTTTCAATTTTTTTTTTATTTTTACCTCTAATGATGGCCTTGAGATAAGACGCTTGTAGTGTTGTTGCAGCTTTTACGTCACTTAGACAATCCTGATAATTCCCTGAAAAAGATTGAGTTCTTTTTATACCGATATTATAAAGAATAATACTTAGAAAGCGTAGAGTTACCATACACATTTATGCACATAAACTCTATAAATTCACGTTAAATTGCTAAACGGATAGCCAGCGTCTATTTAAACACAGCATTCGGCCAGGCTACGGTCTTCAAATCCAACACAACACTTACATTACCTTTACCGTATTTTTAAAACTCCCCACAGCGGCGCTTATTAAAATTTTTCCTTGTCCGCATCACTAAGTCGTGGGCGGGCCGAATTGAAGACTTCTCGTTTTGAAAACCCAGAATTCATAACATCTCTTCATTTTCTTTTTAGAAAAAGGTAAGAAAAACAATTTACGCACCGAAATATTGCTTGATTATATCTTTCACGGAGATAAAAAAGAAAGAGGCAACCCGAGCTTTCTTTCAGCGAGAATGCCTTGCTTGTAAAAAAAAAAAATTAGAGTGCATGATCTACCAGTGAATTGTTTATCCTTAAAAATTTACCTTGACAGAAGTAAACTGTCGATCTGTTGTTATATAGCTTGGAAACAAGTTCTTTATCCTTGCATTCAACTTTGATTCCTTCCGTGTAAAAGAAAATGGCTTTGGCAAAATCTTTATTTCTGTATGCATCATTGCCAGCATTATTGAAATCTTCCGCTTTTTCTACAACGAAAACAATGCTCCTGAGTATGTCTCACAATGCCCAATTAAATCATATTAAAATTTTACTGCTCTAACGGGCAGTTTCTCCTGACTCTGTCCAATGGCTAATTTTTTTTTTACGAACTCATTTGATAAAGCCAAGTTTTGTGTTACACTCCTCCACCAATTCAAAGCCAAATTACTTTAGAAACCAATCCCTTTCATAAAATTGTCGTTGTGGTTAAATGAGGCAAGAGAAGATAAACGGGATAAATATCTCAAAAGAAACAACTTTAATCGACAGAATACTACTTTTCACAGAGACAGCAACTGCACAACAAACGTTTGGTAAAAAAGTATAATAGACTGGAAATTTCACCAGACTACAGTTAAAAAAAATTCGCTTATTTTAAATGCTCTATTTAATTGATCCCGGTTGGGTCAAAAACAAACGTTGATGCAACCTACGAATTTTGACCTGGCAGCTGGTTTTGGTTGATCCTGAGAAAACAGACGACATTTCGCAACGCAACCAACGGTTTGCCCGCGAAATGACGTCAGAGAAACAGGTACAGAAATTCCATTTTAATAACGCATCACTTGCCAGATCTGGGTATTGCTTCTGATTGGTCGTGCCGCGTGTGAGATTTGCCTCGACCAATCAGAAGCACTCCCCAGACCTGGGTAGACATAAATTTCATCAGTATGAAATTTCTGCGCTCTTTCTCAGACGTCATTTCGCGGGGAAACCGTTGGTGGCGTCGCGTAATGTCGTCTTTTTTCTCAGGCTAGTTTTGGTTGAAGGCAGGTTTTTTATGGTTGAGGGCACTGACACTTTTCCCAGGTTTATAAATGAGTACCGGTGCGGCGATCTTATCGCCAGAACGGAACGTAAAAAAGAACAACTGAACATTTTTGATTATATATAGTTCATGATAGATACAGTAGAACACCACTGATCATATAAGACACGTGGTGGACGGCAAGCGAGTAGCAATAAACCCCTAAAACCCTTAATTATTTTCATTGTAAATCCGATTTAAATGCTTGTTATAGCATGCAAAGAAGGGAGAAATTTCACACACGTTCCCCTCGCTCACTCTATGACAACTAACGGTAGTCTAAACGTTTGTGTGCCCGAGAATTCGAGTGATATATACAGGTTCCAGCAAATGAATAGTGACTCCCACGAGTCTCCTGTAGGTCAGTCAAGAGCATTTGGACTAGGCCTCAGTTTTCAAAAGGTGGATAGCGCTATCCAACTTTTGAACAACTGGGGCCAGAAGGTCAAAGGTTCCACTGTTAATGGGAGTACTCGGATTTTTTCTTCCAAGCCACCTGTGTCAGTGACTGAAAAAACATCTTTCTCTACAGGCCATTTCCGAGTTCCAAACACTTTCACTTTGTTGTGAAAATGAGCTTTATTTGCATGTGAATAAAAAAGTTCATTTCCATAATAATGGCTTCGCACCTAGCCTGTCTTTGAAGCAGAGGCTTAAGGCAACTTAAAAATGGCCTATTAAATGTATCAATCATACCAAGTTTTAAAGCGGCTTAGGATAAATAAACGCTTAATTTATGTTCAGGGCAGGGAGGCGGGTGCTGGGGGGGGGGGGGTAGTGGGTAG